CTGCTATCAGTAACTGCATAAGTTTAGTCTCAAGTGTTGAGGTTTTACAAGATAGAGTAAAGCATTTCAAGGCAGATGCACAACACTGCGTCAAAGCTGGATGCCTTGAAAAGAACTTTCAAATGGATGCTAGTAGGGCAAAGCTTGGTTCAGGACTGTCAAATCTTGTTCAGACCTCTGAAAACTTGAATGGCTCCAGGCAAGCTCCTCAGCCAGCTGCCAATATCTAACAGTTTTTCAGACCAGCATCCCCTTCCATCACCCCAATGGATTTTAACAAATGACCTGAACATGCTCTCGGGGAAGCCGCTGTCTATGCCTCTGACTGGACATTTTGTACCTGCATGTGTCCTGGACCAGAGAGAGATCCTACAATCCAGTAGCTCTTTATTCAGAGCCCCTGCATCACAGATAAACCTCTGCCCATCCTTATAGCAACTTACTACTCTGCTCTACAATGTGATCTTCTTTAAATGCTCCACTGGTGTCTGCCAGAAGTGCAACTTGATATGAAACCCACAAGTGCCAGACAGCTCCTTCATCTCTCCATGACAAATAAATCTTCATGATAAATCCATGCTCTCCAATGTCACCTCTTATATATAGACAATCAAAAAAGCTAAGGTACAGAAGTGTGAAGACAAGGCATATGAGTCAAATTATATTTAACCTCTGGTTTAGTGATTCTATCCATCAGAAATAGTTTGTTACATTTTTAACTTTACTCCCTGATTCACGTTAAGAATTTTTTTTTAAGTATTTCTGGACTGCACTGAACTCTTCCCCTCCAAGATGCAGCCATTCTTATCCTCAGGAATAAACCTTTAGGTTATTTTTCCTCATCACTAAAATGAACTTAGCCCTGAGGCAGGAGCTCAGAGGCTCTCTGCTCAATCTGACAAACTCATATCTCAGCCTGGGAAGATACTGAACAGATGGGCATCTCATGGTGGAGGATTTAAGCCAGACTGGATCCAGCCAAATTCAACAGGACCTCAGACAGTTTCCAAAGCCAGGAACTGCATCTCTACATACTCCAGGATACATAAAGATGCAAAAAGGACATCGGTCACTGAGTTAATAGCAGGATTTCTGGCTGCACACTCAGTAAGTTCTGCTATGGCTCACAGCACACCTGGGCAGCACCAACTGGAGACTGACGTGGTGCTCAGCAAGGGATTGCAATATGCAATTTTGCCATCTCAACAGTGTCTCTTGTTCCTAGTAATGAGGCAGTTGCAAGATGGAATTTTTGCAGGAGGTCTTGGGCTCTGGACTCCCTAGGAAAGATGCTGCCCAGATAATAACCAAATCAAACCATGAGCCCAGAGTCACTGGAAATATTCATCCTGCTGCAATATGCCTTAAAAATGACTGACTTTAAGTTGCTTTCCTCCAGTCTGAGGAATGACTGGAAAAAGTACAGAAGACAGCTAAAGCAAGACAAGAACCTGCTCCTCCGGCTCATGCTCCACTGGGACAAGGACCCAACAGAAGGAGTGAAGATAGCAGAGGAAAGTAACCCCTCAGCAAAAGGAGCACTGGACTGAGCAGAGGCATTAATACTGCATCCAGCAGTGAGAGGATGACAGGGGCTGGCAGCACCCAGGACCACTCCTGGGAACATGGCAGGGCTTGAACTTTGTTGCCAACGGCTGCACTCTTGTGGAGAAAGAAAATGGCACCAATTATCAGTTACTGATCTCAGGCTGCACTCAAACCATTCGAAACTGGCTCATCAGTAACCTCCTCTGTGATACCTACAGGAACAGCAAGCAAACAGGCCACAGGAAAGCAGATACCTGCTAATGAGACAGCCATCTCTTTCCCTCTCTTTGATTACCTCCTAAACTCAGTCAAGCGATAGTATGCTTTATTTTTGTCTCCCCTACCGAATCAGCATCTCCAATTCCCAGAGGCTTTCCTGCTGCTGGTAGTACACACACCAAGAGCCAGCTTCACCATGGCTAAGCAGGACTGGAGGCCAAAACACTCCCCCATTTGCTTGGCCCTTTCCCGCAGCCCTTGCGGCTCCCAACTCACTCTCTTCAGCTGCTGCCTGTGCTTTTGAACACATCTCCCTACAGCGAGTCCTTGGCAGATCTTGTGACCATAAGGTACCAATGCGCTTCCCACAGGATTGTTTCAGCTCAGAACAATCCTGGCCTGTATCTGTCAAGTGTGTAGGGGAGGGACCTTTCATGCATCTTTCCCCAAAAGATGTTGACACATTTGTGAAACGTAAAGCCATGGAAGCCCCAGAAAATCATCTGCCAAGACAAAAAGGGGGATTCAGTTAGCCCTGGTGTGACCAAGAAGAAAAAAGCACATGAGCTGCTTAGCACAGAAAGTTAATCTCCTGACTTTGAAAGCCAAACCCTTAAAATCAGAATAGTTTTCAAGCTGGTTAAATTGAACATGTTTTGCCTTAATAGAGCTTCACAACAGGTCTTAACAGTCTCACACACTGATAGGTCACCATTCGTAAAGAGAAAGTAAATTCACAACCAGAAGCAGCACTTGCTCCCAACACATTGCCTTGCTTTGCAAGTTGGATCTCAGGGACCCACTCACAGGAACTGGATCTCGAGAGCAATATTCCCAGAAACAAGCACTCAGGAGAGAAATGGAAAATAAGTTATGAAGGAACCAATTTTCCAGGACCGTGCCTATTTTAGTGTGCTTCGCACACAAGCACACAATGCTGACGCTAAGCAGGGAAAAGCAGGTCCTGTCCTCACCAACGCCCACGTGCACAACAAAGGCTACTCAATGATTTTCCCATTTCTTTTTAGCCGTGCCTTATCCTGGAGCAGCTGAGGGGGGCGTTGCAGGAAGCAGGGAGAGCAGGGGATGGGTGATCAAGCTTCAATTCTGATCTCAAAGTCAGAAATAACCTTTCTGGATGTTCCTGTGCCAAAGTAACACCAGTGTCTGCTTAAACCCCCTCACAACTTTGGCCCCCACACCTTCAGCCTTGCTCCCTGACAGAAATGAGAGAGCTCCAGCCCCTGACAAGGGAATGGGTCTGCACAAAGGAGGGTTTTGATCAGCCTGTCTCCACTATCAACAGACCCACAGCAAACTCCGGCTCACTCACAGCCTTGCATTGCCCTGCCCCATCATTTCCAAGATCATCACACTGGAGAACAAAATCAGGCACTGCTTCTCACCGAGACAAGCATACAGGCTGACAGGATTCCTGCAGCACAAACTCCAACTCCACATCCATGCATACAGCAGCAGCTGCACTGCTCAGACTTACTGAGGCAAACACTTTGGATCCCCTGCTGCCAGGAGTTTACTCAAGGCTGTGAGGGCTGCTCACTGGCTTAAGTAAAAACTAAACACAAGTACTTACATGGCTGCAAACTTCATCCTAAACCATGGGAGCATGTTGCGGGCGAGGCTGAACCAGAGAGGATGCTATGAGTCATGTTGGTGCAGCATACCCTTCCTCCCTCTCGAGGTGTTCAGAACAGGCCATTTAGAACAGGAACAAGGAAAGCAGTAACATGGAAGATCGATTTTAAACCAAGTCCTCCTTCCCTTCATGCTGAGTCCCAGGCAGGCAGCTTGCATGCTCCCCTTGCTGAATAACCTGTTTCCCCAGCAGAGAATTGGCACTATTACACAGCATTTATGGCCACAAACACAAGCTGCAAGGGCCAACTTTTGAGCCAGCCCTCGGCCCTACTGCAGCTGCTTTTGCTTCTCTGACAAGAGACAAAGAGGTTTACTAACCTCCTCCCTCCTATCAAACAAGTGGCACCTGCAGTTCATGGAGAACAGCTGGAAGAGGTTGGGCCCAAACACAAGGAAAGGGGGGAAGGAAGGGAGCAGAGCATCTTTGCTAAGGAACCTCCTTCCTTCCCAAAGCACAAGGCTCCCAAACAGCAAACGGTACCTTCTCTGTCCAGCCACTCTCTCCTTAGCCCCAGGAGTGGTCACAGTCCATGAGGTTTTGCTCCTGAGGGTGTTTTTAGCCAAAAGACCAATAATAATCATATAAAAGAAAAAATTTTTTAAAAAAATCAACTCCAGTAGAAAAATAATTTAATAAAGGGATAAGTTTCAAGAAAATATCTGTATAGTAACAACATTTTAAGTAAAATGTCCACAAAAATATACATGTCTACTGTGATTATACATTAAGTTTTCCGACAGGTCCTGTTTCACACTTGGTTCAGTCCATCTAGGAAAAGCCTTACTGCTAGCAGACTTACTGGGATAGATCAGTTTGCACAACAGAATCATGATAAATGTTTTCTAACTCATTTTAGGCTCATACAAATAAACTTTGGAGTTCGTAACAGTCCAGAAGAGATCAGGTTATACTGTATCATTAAAAATTTTTAAAAAAAGTAAATACAAACAAGGAAAGCAAAAGTCAGCCACCCAAGGGACACTGTCAGGCAAAAACAGCAGCCTACAATACACACCACACAACACTGACACAGCTGGAAAAGGAGGGGGATGAAGGGAGGATGGGCAAAAAGGAGGGGAAAATTCCAGGAAGAGGATTCCCAGGAATTGTGGAACTGCTAAACGAGGGGGCTATAGAGAGGCAGGGGAAAAGCACACACGTGACCAACATTTCTAGAAACCAGACAACTTTTTAACATAGAAGATAAGCTAATTACAGGAATATGGAAAGGAATCAGTGGAGAATGTTTATTTCTTATTTTTCCAAATGGCTACTGAGCTGTAGAAATAACAGGTCTGTCCCAAAGAGCCCTCACCAATAGTGCCAATTCAGCCAAACAGAAGAGAAAAATCCGGTTACAGAAATCGAAGATGCAAGAGTACAGTAAAAAAGTAAAGAAAACATGTTCCACCACCAGAGGACAGGGACGAAACTAAAGAGGAGATGCCAAACAAGAGATACCAATTTTGTCAAAGGAGATGTACAATGCCACAAAAAATAAACCAAAAGGAACAAAACAAAAACCCCACTCCATAGAAAATGGAAAATTGCTAAAGAAATAAAAGGACACACATTTTCCAAAAGATTTTTTCTTTTATAATCAAATTTTTTTACATAGACAACTGAACACACCAATATTTTGTGCGAAAAATATTTTTAAATAAACTTCTCAATTTTTGTACATTCTGATATACATATGTAACAAGGTTTATGGCACTGTAACCAGGATCAAAATCATATAAAGGAACAAAATAATTGCTCTCATTTATCCTTTCTGAACCAAGCTGGCTGCTGTTGCACTATTAGACTAAAAATTATTATTAGTGGGCAGCCAACTCTAATTGGTTTGAACACTCAAATCAAAGCCCAAATTATTATTGCACAAGAAGCCAGTGAAGGCATATGGCATAGAATGATCGAAGTCCCTTACTGTTAAAACCTTACACCCCAAAATAGAAAAATAGAACTGGAACATGAAACACACCAAATAAACTTTTTTTTTCTTCTTTAGTTTGAGTCAGGAGTGTGAAAAGTGCCTTGCAGACTTTTTAAGCTGCTCTGATTTCCTTTGCATTGGTGAGCATTTTGCTAGGTTATCTTTAGCAAAGCCTTTGCAGAATGAAGGCCCTTATGTTTCAGGGAGGGTTTTTTCTGCTTTGTTTTGGCTGTTTGTGTTTCGTCTTCAACTTAGGTTTCTTCAGTCTATGAACCTGCACAGACTACTTAGCCATAAACTCTACAAGTAGCTGGAGAGGTGGGAAAAATAAAAATTAAAAGAAAAAAAGCTCCATATTTCTTCTTCTTCTTGTTTTGATTTTAAAAAGTACTCCTTTTGCTCTGAAGCCTCCCTGCTCTGCCGGTGTCTGAGAAGGAAATCACAACAGCATCCCAAACCCGGCAAAGTTCTTGGATCTTTTAAAAACCTTTCCTTACAAAAAAGGTTTTTATTCACAAAAAGTTCGCCACAAAACTCCCCTTGAAAGCTAAAAAGAAAAACCCACAAGCCACCCATCATTGCCCCAAATCAGGTGAAGAATAGGTTAACCCCTTCATTGACCGCCACCTCACAGCTTCGCCCGTCACACGACAGTCTCTACGCCGATCAGCTTTGGTGTGAGGATTCGTGGTGTGACACCGTTGTTTAGATCTTCTTCGAACTCCAGTAACTGCCCCATAAAGTTAAGGTTAGGGGAAATGATTGGTCGTTTGCCTTTTACAAATTTATAGGCATCCGTCATGGTCATGCGTGTGTGCTTCATTAAGTAAGCGATAACTATGGTGGCAGATCGGGAGACACCGGCCTGGCAATGGATGAGGAGACCTTTCCCACACTGATGAGCTTCCTCTAGAAACAAGAAAGACAGAAGAAAGTAAGTTTTTTGCCAGTTCATAAATTAGAACAAGCTCAGTGCAATTAAGAGTAACTTAATGTGAAAAGTCCCTTGATTTGATTACAAGCACAGCAGCATCTCCTCCCCCCTCCCTCCAGCCCATCTTCCTCCAACATTTTAGAGTTACTGCACGTGAAACACCCAGTCCAGTCTGACACTGAAAATCCTCATGTCCAAATCCTTATCTCTTTATTAGATGAACCACACAGTGAGAGATGCTGCTGCACTGCTCACACCGGTGCCAGGGAGCATTTATTTGGGAGGTCGAGGTCCATGATGAAGCATCAGGCTCCATTTCCACCTCTGCTGCTGCACTACATTGGCATCTCAACCTCCCTGTCTTTCAAAGCAGGGCACCACCTGTTTAACAAACAGGTATTTTCAGATTCAGTTCATAACAATATATCTGTTTCAAAGCCCTGTTCTTGGAAGCTTTTACAAAGCTGCTCTTGAAATGAGCTTCAATGGGGCACTCTGCTGTGGTGCCTCCACAAAAGCAGGAGCTGGATAACACACACAGGACACACGCTCTCCACCAAGATACATCACTTAGACGGAGGCAACCCGGGCAGGATTTAGGAAGGACAAAGTCCTTGTAACCACCTCTTAACAGGACATGAGAAAGAGGAGAGTCAATACCATACCACCCTCATCTCCCACAGCTTGCTTTTAAAACAGGAGATAAAACTTTCAAGATGTGACCCTTCAATCTACTTCTTTTGTTTTAATCCACAGGACAAACGTGAATTTGGTTTGCAAGTTTTGGCATCAATCCAACCCCACCAAAAGTACAGTTCATCCCACCCCACATGTTCAACCTGTACTGTGAAAGCATAAATGAAGCCAACTTCCCTCTAGACATTTTTGGCAGTTAGTATTTCAGAAAGCTGAAACTCTCTAATGTATTTTGACACACTTTCACAGAGAGTTTCTGATGATTTCACTTCCTATGGCTTTAGTCTTAGCTAAACCTGGGGTCGGTTGTGGTTTTTTCAAGACATATTTAAAGAAACATAGGCCAACAATCTGCTGTTTAAACATTTCCAAATCTTCTCAAATGCAATTTAAAGTTTACCCAGAGGAAGGGAAAGCTTTGACTAGTTATTTCCCCAGCTGGCTAAATTTGCTATGGAGAAAAACTCTCAGTGGAGAAATATTTGTTTATTAAAAACAAAGACAGACCCCCAAGCTGTAATTATTAAAAAGGAGAGTAAAATGGGTTTTGAAACACTTTCTAAACCTTTTCAGAGCAAAGCTGCTTTCTCTGCCCTTGGTAAGGTCACAAGCCAAACACTATCTTTCAGTGGCTTTGAGAGCTCTAATCCTTCAGCTCATAGGAATGCTGGGTGCAGAAATCTCCATCCTACTCCCAAAGGACCTCAGTAGAGCTTTGCAGTCTCTTTATGTAAGCTTAGCCTACTGAATCTCCCCATCTTGTTGAACTCAAAATTTAAGGTTTTATGGGATTTCTTGGCACAGCTGTTTTCCCAGAGGATCAAAGCTAGGTTTCCTCTCCCCTACCCCTCACCCAAAATGAGGTGTTCACCATCCCATACACATCATAATCAGCAGCTTGGGGAGCTGACAGCACTACTGATAGAGCTGGGGTTGGGTTAGGAACACTGGGGAAAATTTGGTTTTAAAGAGAGATTCTTTGGTCCTTCACATTGTAGACCATAAGGGCTCCCAGTAGAAGCTCCCAATGGTAAGACTCAGGCTTTAATGCTGCTCTCCATCTGAACTGCAGCACAATCAGTGATTTCTCTGTTCACCTTCACTAAAGTAGCACAACTACAGGCCGTACACGTCAGCACACCACGGTCCCCTGCCAACCCAAACACGGCCAGGGAGGCTCACAAGCCATCTGCCCTGCCCAGGCACACAGCAGGGGCAGAAGGGCTCAGGAAAACATGCTGAGTTTGGACCTCCAGTCCTGGGACCCAGTCCCACAATTGAGCCCCAATCCTTGATGAGCCTAGGAGCACCTCCACGGAGCCAGCACAAACAGGTTTGAGTTTCAGGAGCCATGAACCCACCCCCTGACTCAAAGGCCATAAACACTGATGGTCTGAGGGCAGGGAGGAACACAGCTCTGCATCCACTTCCGTATGGGGTCAGTCAGGGATCTAAGCTGCGATGCAGCACAGAAACACACTTCCCTTGTCTAGTCCTCCACTATCAAGCCTGAAGTACTGACAAAGAGATTAGCCCAGCCTCAGCACAAGAAAGTAAAATTATATATCAGTGGTCCCCCCCAGCATATTTCAGAAAACCTCTCAGGGCACATAATTCTGCTGGAGCAGCACAGCTGGACATTCACTATGCCACAAAAGCGGTGTCCAGAAAGAGGGGCAAGATGTGGTCCTCAAAAGCTTTTGTATGACATGCTGAAGCCCTCGCTTAAAGTGGCCATCTGGCTTTAGCCTAGCTGACCAACCAGAGCTGAGTGTGGCCCTAAACTTGGCTGAGGGCTGTCCTGGGTTGATCTAGCGAGGTTCAGAACAATGTGGGCAACGTTGCTGGGTCATTTCCTCAGCAACCTCTGCAACAAGCTGCATGTCTCTGGTGAACTCTCTCACACAGCCTACAGGATTTAGAAACTTATTAATGCAAGTTTCCATCACTATCCACTCAACCACACACACACTTGGAAGCTATAAATCTAACTGTGGAACAAGCAAAGTGTGAAAGTTTGTCAGTTTTCTCATTAAGTTAGGAAAGACTGAGCCATCATTGAGAATAGTTACTATGAAAAATTGGCTGTAAGCCACTGTGGAAACTGGGAATGCAAAGGAATCAAGAAGAGGGGATGACGAAAGTCTCAATTTTCTCAGGTTTCCTGAATTTAAAGCCTGGAGGTAGGAGTCAGTATAATGGATAAAAATTGTAACCCCAGGCTACTTAACTGGATACATCAGAGATGAGAAAGAAAAGACATATGAGTTGCTCAGCATTTCTGACAACCTAAACAAAAGTAAATATGGCCTTATTCAGCCTTCAGAGTAGTTGGAGAAGCATAAAATTCACTCTAAATTCTTACAACAGGTAAAAATAAAAAAAAACCCAACAAAACAAACAGGAGTATTTCCAGTCAAGGGTAATTACCAATGAACTCAAAAGCCTCTTCAAAATACTGCCTGAGATTCTGCTTGTTGCTGTCAGTGGCCGGGAGCCGCTTGTAGTTGAACATGCCTTTCTCGTAATGGTACAGGGGCAGGTGGGTGGTCACATTAATTACGTAGCCTATGTTCATCCTCTGCATTTTCTCCAAGTCCTGAGCATCATGCTCATTTCCGAGGAAGAGGAAGGGCAGGATGGGGGTGAGCTCAGCGTTCTCGATGTCTGGCGTGGTGGGGATGGACTGAGGTAGCATGGGGGGCACAGCGGAGGCACCGCCCCCTCCTCCCCCCTCCGGGCACTCTTGCAGTTGGAGGGAGTTATCGCAGAGGTTTTCGTGGTTCTGCTTGAAACCGCTGAGTCCTCCTGGGAAGAGAGACCAAGCAGATATTTAGGTTAGATACCCCAAGGTGGCAACGCTTTGGATCCACCTTTTTTCAGAGCACGTGCTGGGACCACCAGGACTGGAGCTGGCTCTACTGTCCCCACTACCACTGTCACAGTGACCAACGCTGTGCCGTCAGCAGCAAGGGTAGCACGAATCAGCAGCAGGCATTGTCCTCCCCTCTGCGAGGCACACGGTGCCAAGGAACAGGCTCACAGACAAACACGCCTCTGTGCAACATCAGTGTGCTGGGGCTGCCTCACCTACCAGCCTGTGAGAGAAGGAAGGTATTTTTTCAAGAAGGAGAACATCATCAAAACTAGGGGCAAGTGGCCTATTAGCACACTAAAGTGAGCAGCAAGCCAGCTGGGACAGTCTTAGCTTTACCAGTCCACAGTAGATTTGCCTGTGGGAGCAAGCCCTGCAGGGCATCCCCCCATCCAACACCTCTGAGGATGGTGCAGCTCACCCCGGCATCGCTCCAGGGAACAGTACGTACACATTTGTGCACCCGAACAAAAGAAAACCACTCCTTGTAACCCAACAGAGACTGAGGTGCTTGCTTAACATGTGGCAAACAGCTCTCCTTTTGCTGCCCCGGTTGCATGAAAATATCTAGCAAGAGCTATTTTTAGGACATTAATATGGATTGGAAAATGAATCTGAGGGGGGAGGGAGAAGTCACTTTTTCAACTCATGCCTCCCCTGACTCTATTGCATGCCTTGCTGGTTTTTTCAAGCACCATCTCCCTCCCCCTCCAGTTTTTTGGTTTTTTGGGTTTTTTTTGAGGAGGGCAGCTTTGCAGAGCTGGAGCAAGCAAAGGGAACCTTCTTTCTACACCTCATTCGGGAATGACATCAGCCCCAGGCTCCCCACCTGCCTGGTTTCCATAGCGATTACACAAAGCACACAATGACATCAGCTGGCATGACATCAGCTCTTTGAGTGCAAACAATACAAGAACTACTACTTTGTGCGAGGCCTTTGGTAGGAGGCAGTGGCGTTCCTGGGAGCCGCTGATGTAATGCTAACAGGTGGCTCCTCCGAAAGAAAAAGGCGGAAAGAGGAGGAATGCAGTGATACATCCCCCCCCCCACCTCGCCCGCAAAAGCACACGTTGCTGTTGTACCAGGACACTTGAAGTCATGCTCCGCACTGAGAGGAGCCAAGTGTTCAGACTCAATTGCACTTTGTTAACTGCAAGCCAAAAAAAACCCCGGAGGGGGGAGAGTTACCCTGAAGTTACTAGAAAGAGCTACACTAGCCAAAATAAATGCTGAATGTCACCATCCCAATAATGTTATTTAAACAGAAAAATAAAATAAAATAAAAAAATAAAAGACAGGCTATTTGTCTTTTCCGTGCTCTTTCACAGTGATCTAGTGAAGGTTTAAAACAAAGAAAAACATGCTGTCACTCAGGCTCTGGATCAGACACAGCAAAGGGCTCCAATGCCTACACTTTGAGTGCTGGAATTCAAATGTCTGTGACATACCTGCCCATAGGGTAGTACCCAGCCAGGGCCATTTCAGCACCCTATACTGTACTCCATGGGCACAAGGCACCCAGACTACGCTACAACCATCTGAGCCCCTCTAATACATCCAGACTCCTATCCTTCACACTCCGCTAGTAACTCATTTTCCCAGAAATCTTTGAAATGTCTACAAAATGTAGAGTATTTCCTCTTCCCTTGAAAGTGTGCTTGTCTTCAGCTGTTTCTGCTGTTTACAGGACACAGAGCAAACAGTTTTGCCTTAAGGATCTGTACTCTAAAAGTTGTTACAACGAGGGAACAGGGGAGAAAGAAGAAGCAAGGACAAAAATCTGAGCTCAACTGCCAACTGCACCACATGGCCTCAACGGGATCTGAAAAGTCTTCTCAATCCACTCAAGAAAACAAACAAGACAATGGTCTCCAAGTTGAAGATGTTTGAAGTCTCATCCAAACCAACAGCCCCAGCCTAGAGTCTGGGCTAAAGGCTAAGCCCTAACCCACATTCCCATCCTTCCACGTAGGCAACCAGTCCATTCAGCTTCAATACTGCCGTTTGAACAATAACTGGAGCATGCTGGGATTCTCAGGAAAACCCCTGAAAAAGTTGCTTTAGTGGCCCAGAGCTAATGCTCATTTTCCACCTCTCCTGCAGGTTTTAGGGAATAGGCAGCTGGAGGTAGGATCCTATTGTTTCATCACTAAGGTGGACACACTGATGGTGTGGCAGACACCATCCTGTTTCACCAGCTGCCTTGTAAGATACAGCACAGCTGGAGAGTCTAGAGCAAGTTCTTTCCTCACCACCCATGTCCTACTCTCAGGTCCTCTGCTTGCCCCACTGGCCAGAAGACACTATTACTCCTGCTACCAACTCTTCCTCACTGTGAGCTTTGGTCCAGCAAATGACATGGAGGAGAGGATAAGAGACCATTACATTGGGCAGGGCTCCTCTGTTATCACTGCACTCGGAAGAAATCAAGAGGTGTAGGGCAATCCCCACCACTCCAGCAACAGCATCATGACAAAGGATGGGAAGGAGACCCCAAATACAGCATGTGGAAGATGCACAAACAAGTGGAGTAGCTAAATATATAATAGCTTCACCCACAATTTCTTTCCAGACATTTGCCAGTGGTCACTATTCCTAAAGTCAGGCCACATCCCCCATTCTCTTTGTTCACCTCCTCATGTGGGTGGGGAGTTAAAAAGTTAGTTCAAAGAATATTTAAAGTACCATACCCAAGCAGCTCTCAGAGCAAATGTCCCTGAAAGAACACATTACTGTGGAGAGGATTACTAACCTGAACTGGCTCAGACACGTGAACAAGAGAAGACTACACAAGAACACTGGTATTCAGAAAGAAGGCAGCAAGATGCAGTCACGAAGAGAAACTGAACCCTAGGCCAACAGCAGGAGCTGAGCTTGGATCTGCACTGCCATAATACTTAATTTTTTTAAAGTTTACAAGATTACTTCCTGAAGCAGGTCCAAGTAAAGTTAATTATGACCAGTCAGAAAGAGTAAAAGAGGGATAGACTTTACACATGAAGGTAAATACAATGTACAGGCTATTGAAATGCATCTGTATTCCTTTGTCAAGAAGCTGCTATTTCAGCACTTAAAGTCTTCATGTAAAAGGGGTAGAGGAAGTGGGAGAGGAGGCCAACACATAGTTCCTGCAAGCCTGGTCTAAGAGTTGATTAATTCAACTCAGTAAAGTCTAAGACATATCACTGCTGCTGACCACAACTCCAGATAACAAGGAAGCTCAAGGCATGGATGCAGAGACTCCACTCGTGGTTGTAACAAAAGCTGTTTTGTGGCTGACACTGCCCAAGCCTTCCCTACCCTGGGGCATGAAGGAAGCATTATACAGGGCAGTAACAGTGCCTGTGGCCAAGAGGCACAGCCTAGCAGAAGCTTCTCACTAGCACAGAGATAAGCTATATTTTAAAAGCAGCTTTTCAGATGGTGCAAAAAGCCTTCATCATATAGGGGAAGCCTAAGTAAAGAAGCAATATAATATATATCCACCATGAAAGCCCATCAGCATGCAAGGCAGGGCTGTTTGAACCACAGCCACAGAGCCTAGACTCAGATGTGCAGCCACCCTCAGTGACAAACCAAAATGCCAGCAGTCAGATAAGCCACCAACGTTCATTTCAACACAATGTCACGCTCACAGCCTGTCTCTTCTGCCTTTAAACACGCCACACAGCTGTAATAACCAAAGCACAGCAAAAAGCCTGAACTGCTCAGCCAGTCTGATGCAGCCCACATGCGGGTGCAGAGAACATCCCAAGTGCTTCTGTGCACTCTCTGCGCCAAAATGGCAGCTGGGCAGGCGTTTAGAGGGGCTGAACCTACCAATATCCAAACAAAGATGGACATACAAGGATGCTTGGCACTCTGGGGAACCCAAGGTATTTCTTGCATAAGGAAATGAATCAGTGAAGCAGGACCCTTCCTGGCAGATGGCCTTGCCTGGTATCTAGCAGGACACAACATAGGACTGAGAGCTCTTGCTCGCCGCTGATACTAAAACCAGGTATTTTTGCAGTTATAACTGCATGTCACCTTCGAGCATCCTACCCTGCCAGAACAGTTGGTGAGTGACAACAGACTTCTGATTGTCTGAGACTTCAAAACTTTTAGGAAGTTCCAAGTCAGCACCGGACGTGCTCCAGCTACTCACACTTGCTTGTTCAAGTTCTTCGCAGCCATCGGCCCACAAACATCTTGCTTAATGCTCCTCAAACTCCCCCGCTGAGCAGCGCCCAGGCAGCAGCTGCACACAGATTTCCCAGCCTCAAAGCCATCCAGGAGCCCAAGGCTTGCACCAGCACTATGAGACCAGGTGAGTGGCTGGACAGGAGCCAAAACAGCTCTGAACAAATGAAAAAAGACAAGCAGCATGGTGCTTGCACAAAAATCATGCTAAACACAGTGTCTGTCATTTGCCATCAGAAGAGGGCAAATACAATGCAGAGGAGGCACAAAAGGTAGAGTAGGAACTAGGCAATCAGCTTTTGTGAGGGACTGTAACCCTGCAATAGAACCATCTTCAAAGAAAGTAAGAAAAACAAACCTTACCTGTACACATTTATAAAAAGGATTGGTTGGTTGGGAGTTTGTTTATTTGGAGGTTTTTTTGTTGTAGTTGTTTTGTTGTAGGTTTTTAGTTTGGGGGTTTGTTGTTTGCTTTTTGAGAAGATTGAGAATTAAGTACAAGGAGTACAGTAACACCTGCCCTCCCCCTCTGTCTCTCCTTTGGCACCTCCTTCAGCCACCACTGCTGCTCTATAGCTGTGTGACTATATGCAAACTAGGATGTGGGCTTACAATATGCTTTGGGAGATCTGCAATATGTTTCCTATCTGGAAATGGGCTCTTACCCCACAGTCAAGGGAGTAAACGACCTTGTTCCCTCTGCAGTGACAGAGCTTAGAGGGAGGTAGCTACAATGAAATGCCCTCACAAT